GAAAAGAAAAGCAACTTAAACACAAAGTAAGCAGCTATAAATCCCAAAGTAAGCGGCGATCAATCACCAGGTACCGCCTTCCATTGAGAACCCTGAAAGGGTTAAGGGTTTTGACCCATGGTTAAAAGATGGTGTTGTAGTGTGATTATCCTCTCATGTGTGTGTGATTGCATAGTTCTGAAAAGGACTCTTAGGGAGAAAATTAACTGAATTTTCTGCAATGTGACTAGCACTCCAAAATGTTACAGTCTTGATTGCCATTGCTGGTAGACAAAAAATCTTGATGACAAAATGTGTTGTGGTAATAATCTTGCACCCTATAATCAGCAGTCATAAAGCAAGCTGCAATTTTTTTTTCTTTAATTTCTTGTTTATGGTCTTAAGATAAATTGGGATAAACATTTGCATGAGAAATGGAGCTTGGAATGAACTGCCTGAGCTAACCACAGATTGGGTAGCTCAGGGTGTAGAGTGTTGGACTGTGTGTGGGAGGTTGACAGTTCAAACCCTTGACCGCAACATTCAGAGTCTTGAAATAACTGAGAAGAACGGGCTGTCTTTGCTATGACATCCGCAAATGCTCGGAAATCCTAGTCTTCTTAGATAAGGATGATAAACCATAGGCCCTGTCTCCTGCATCTTCTCTGTGCTGGTTAGCAGGGGACATAAAGAACCAACACACTTCTTGCAAAGAGTAGAGAAGGTAGCTCCCATTGTTGTGGTCTGGCCTTCTTTCCAAAATGGGGGCACCTACAAAATCTCCTTCTAAAAATTGTAAAATGCTTATTATCAGTCAGGCCAAGTGTTGTAAATTTCAGTAGGGCATGATTATGGATAATACCTCATATCGGTGCTACATTATCATCTGCCCTGGTGAGTAGTAAAAATTAGGCTGTTGTTCTAAGAAAGTCTGTTTTTAGTTGAGACTGTAAATGTGGAAGAGTGTTTAGTGTTTGACAGTGTTGTAACATATACTTCATTGACCAGGATCAAAGATGCTCCAAAGAGAGGCTCCTGGGATGAAAATGCAGACAATGATGATGATGATGATGATGATGATATTGACGAGGATTTATCAGAAAGTCAGAAAGGTGAGAAACATACTCAGTTTGATTGTCATATCTCTCAGTTACTATAAATATGCCCTGTGAACAGTTAATTTAGCATGTTGTGTTCTACTGCACTGACAGCATGCTAAAATCTGACTCTGTTTTTGTTGGCTAAGTTTCCTGTTTCAACCTCAGTGAGTGAATAGAATTTTAAATCTTTCATTTTCTTTACAATTTGTGGGTGAGTTTGCTTAAGACTGATTTATGATTTCAAACTACCCCACTTTGTTTTGAGTATTTTTTTGTATTTAAGGCTGCTGCATGGGACTATAAATCATTTCTTAAGTCTTTCAGTCATTTAGTAGACTTGTCCTAAGTATTTGCTAACCTCATCTTTTTGTTTGGAATTGTGACTTATGGCCTCTTGTTTTTTCCCATATGATTTATCACCTGGGCTCTGAGGCCTTAAGTTGAATACAGTCTCAGGCTTCTGTGTGCAGGCTATAAATTGTAAGAGCAAATATTTGGGCTGTAACTTTAAGTGTAGACCTCAAACTTGGTTTGTAAGAGGTACATGATAAGTAATAATTTGTTTGTTTCTCTTATCTCTAGAACATAAAAAAGCATTTAAAGACAAGAGAAGGGTACACTACAATGAATATTCTAAAGTTAAACTTGCAAGGAAACTTATAGAGCAAGAGTTAAAAGATTTAGATGACGATGACAATGATGGTTCATTAGACTCAGCAAAGGAAGGATCAAGTTCAACAGATGCTTGTGCAGCTGATACTCAGGTGATCTATTGAGCTTTTAACTATTTATTTATTTATTTATTTATTTATTTATTTATTTTTTTTTTTGAATCTTTATTAAGTCATAAGATAAATAATCACATATCCTATG